AACAGGTCCTGGCCAACAAACAGACATAGTGGGGTAGACAAGGAGCAGAAAAGCGGTGTTGATAGATGTGGCCATACCAGCAGACGCCAACATCAGAAAGAAGGGAACACGAAAAGTTGAAAATACAAGGGTTGAAAGACAGCTGGAGCAGATGTGGAGATCAAGGCCAGCGTGATCCTCGTGTATAGGAGCATCGGGCAGTGACCCCCAAACTGGGGAGTGGCTCCAACAATCCCAGGAACAACATCAGAAGCCTCAGTCCAAAAGAGCGCAGTCCTAGTAACAGCTAAGATACTGCGCAGAACCTCAAGCTCCCAGGCCTCTGGTAGAGGACCCGAGCTTGAGGATGACACAGATACCACCCCAAGAGGGTTGAGAGGGGAATTTTTTTTTTTTTTTGTTTTTTTATATACATACAGATTGATTGATGGAACATTGCACAGGTCACAGCAGGAAATAAGTATAGAAATAAGATACAATTACCAGGGATAAAAAAATTTATACAGCAGTGTAAATGTAACATGGCTATAAATGCAAGTACAGATTCAAACAGAGTGCAAAAAGTTGTCTGTGATAATTTTGGCTGATGTTAAAGAGAAACAAACTGCGTAATTATGCCTTGCTGAGTTAAAGGAGTGACAGGCTCTTGGAATTGAAGAACCTGCGGTACCACCTTCTTCACTGTGGGTGCAGCTGTGTTGTGAAGGAGCTGCTCTGCAGAGTTTCATGCAGGGGGTGAGAGATGTTGCCAAATTGACATCAGCCTGGCTAACATCCTCTTTTCACTCACACTCCTATGGTGTCAAGGAGGGTAGTCCAGGACAGAACTAGCCCCTTAACCAGTTTTAAGTCGTTTTCTGACACAGACTACTTTGTAGAGGATCGAGACCACAACCTGCATCAGCATAATATCGGGTGAGATACTAAAATCAGTACCCACCCCAGCTACAACCTTGTTAACCCTGCTTGCCATCTGGGAAGACATACAGAAGCTTCTGCTGCCGTGCCACCAGACCCTTAAGGACTTCTTTCACAAGCTGGTGAGGACTGCTCTAATTCATTCTCAGCACTCCATCATGATATTTTATGACCATCTGAAATAAGGTGCGAATCCAACCTAAATCCAACCAAATTGTAACTGTAATTGTTAAATAATGTTTTAGGTGGGAAGTTAAAGGGGATTAAGCGTTTTGGTTAGGGGGATGTGTTTATGGTTCATGGGTTGTGTTTATTGATAGGACGACCGGTCAGCTGTTGGTCAGCAGTTGGTCACACACAGTCACAAGGGCAGGTCCACATTGACCATTGTGAAAAGACCTAAACAGGCCCATGTGTAAATTAGATTAGGAAGGTAGCTAGGACAACAAGCTGTATCCTGTTTAATATGTACAAGGGGTATATAAGGCAAGCATTTAGAAGTCTGGAGGAACGTCTATGCTGGGTCTTTCCCTCCATGCTGCATTAGTAAAGGAATTTGATTCATCACACTGGGTTTTTAATCTTTCAGAGAACCTAGCAACTCTCCACAAGATTATGAAAGAATTTCCCCTACATAATAACAAGGGAAGTATACCACTATATAAGTGTATCAAATATCTGTACATAGATTTCCAGGGAAGTATTATTTCTTTAAGGTGTAGGATCTCTACGGCCACGTTGTCATACTTTTGGTGAAGAGCTCACGGAGAGCATAATGGGGATTTAATGGGTCCTCCAAGATGATTCATGTTATTCTTCTTTTTTTGATGAAGTTAAGCAAATGCAAGAACCTCTGTCCTTTTCATTACTGATAAGAATCCCAGTCGCTAATTATTTCTATTACTGACATATTATAAGATGTTATTAAGATCTGAAGTGTGGGAGAAGACCTATCTAAAGGCATGTTCGCATAGATGAGAGCTAATAGATAGTCTGGTTTAATTAATATTAGAGAACACAGGAGTATGACAGTAATGCTTAATATTCAGGTAGAATGGACTAAATAATACTTTAATAATACTTTATAAATCATAAATTTACATCTATTTCTCTCTATGATCCTTACTCTGTCAACATTTCGTCCTAACAATATTTCTTAGTATAAATAACAACAGTCCACGACTACGAAATAGTACGGCATAATAGGGCCATTCGTCTTGCTCTTGATACTTATCACCTTCTAAGAATGGCTGTATGGAGCAATATTAATGTGCTTTTCCTCCTGTATGGAGTTATTATCGCAAAATGTGCCATCGCTTCTTCACTATTTCTCGTTTTATTCAAAGTGTTATGGAGGATAAGTTGACACAACTCTCAATTTACAAACTAATACATGTACAATGTACAATTGACAAAACCTTAAGGAAAGCAACCTATTATTGACCTTTATATATACATGTCTGTTTCTTTATATACTGTCTTTTCAAAGAGGTGGTTCGAGCCCGTGGAGAGTGAACATCTTAGAATTGGCTTCCAGCATGAACCAGTTAATTAATATACAGATAAGTAATCAACTTATTTATATTTTATTTTATATTCTAAAAGCATAATGTGACTATGTTATAAACTTATTCATTAAAAATAATTTAAGTTATATGAACAAGTCCGTCGCTGATAGTAATTTTCTTTGTAGCACAATTTTTGAGAGTGAGTAATTGCCGCACTGATACTGCAAGTAACCTAAACCTTATGCTAGCCAATACTAACTGCAGCATCTTTCACAAACCCTATAAGTCACTAACTACAGCTTTAGTAGTGAAATGACATCATAATAAAAAGCTCTATTTGAAAAGTGTCCTGAGATAACTTCTGTTATGAATTGGCGCTATACAAATAAAATTTAATTTAATTTAATTAAACACAGCACTATCCTTTTTAAACTCTCAGACAACACAATTTAAGTCATAGCGGTCCATAACGGGGGAATCCATTCTTCTGGACTTCTTCCTGTACAGTGTAGTGACAAACACACACACATAATTTTTTAGGCCTAATAAGTTGGACACTTTTTCATAGATTTGATATATACGGTAAAAGATTAGAAGTTATCAGAATCAGAAATACTTTAATAATCCCAGGGGGAAATTATTTAAGAGGCTATAATGGCCCAGGTCTGATCTCAAATCCTTTGAGGTTGGCACACACTTCACAGCTCAATAGCTCACCATGTTTTAACTGTTGTCTGAACATGATTTTTTCCATACCGATGTGTGATGTCAAGATCTCCGTCCTCATCCAGGAATGGTTTCATATTTCCTTCTCCACAACCCTCTCTATCTTTTCCTTGTGTGGCCTCTGTGTCTTTTTCCCGGCCCTCTTTTGGGTCATCATAATCGTCCGCATCCTTTAATGCTTTCCCTGGGTCATTGTTGTCATGCTTCTCACCACCTGACAAGATCTTGAATTTGGAGATGAAAACTGGATGGATAAATACAGCAATGTTAGAAGGTGAGTGGAAATATATGCAAAATATTTCAACACAAAGTGGAAATGAGACATTAAACATTTGATTTATTCCAGTACATCACATACTGAGTATCATTCTTTATCTTAGAAGCTTCATTATCAAGTTGATTACAATAAACCTATTTCATAGCATAGTTCCATTCAGGTCAAACAGAGTCAGGGTGCTGCTATTATGCATGTTGGCTCACTGGAAAGCCTCTGCTACAATAAATGGAACGAAACCTTAATTAGTATCATTGGCAAAACCTGTGACGGTAACTCTCTGATTAGGATGCTTTTCTGTTTCATGTTATTAGCACACTCTCACTATGAAAAGAAATCACTGAAGTGAATTTACTACGTTTGCAGTTTTTATAGCCACGTTTCCACTGCTGGTATACAGCTCAGCCCAACTTTACTTTACTACCTCTTTTTTTTATTTTTCAATTATGGATAATACTTGGTACTTCTTTTGGTACTATTTTGATTTGGTTTGAGCTTAGCCAATTCTAAAAAATTACCTAAAAAAAACTGCAGACCACTGACTGGTTACAAGTGGAACAGAGGAAAAGGTAAGCAGTCAAGTCGTCAATCTGGCAGTAAATATACAGTGTAGTATGCCTCAACTATTGGGGACTTATAGAGTTTACTGATGGGCAGATGAACCTTACTTTGTGCTATTTTCTAACTGCTAGCCGCTGCTAGCTGCTGCTAACTGCTGAAGGACTGGGTGCTCGAAGCACTGGTGCTCCCGGCAGTCCAAAGCTCCTCTACTAGAGATAACGTTAAAAACCGACACTGCCCTGGCGCTCTGAGCTCCCAGTCTGGCCCAAGTGACCTAAATAGGGTAGCTAGGTTTGCTGCATGGCTTATCAGCTAAAAGTTGCAGCTAGTTAGCAGCTCACAGGGTTAGGGTTATGTCAAGCAGAGTAGCCAGAGGACATTAGAGGGAAAGCCAGAAAATATTTTCTCCATAAAATATGATCCAGTTTCACCAAAATCGGTGAATAAAGTTATAAAAGTTGTGTGCTTTTGTACAGTAATCAGTGAGGCCTGGTCCCCAGAAACACTCTGCTACAGGGGCGTCTATCATTTTTCAACCTAATTCTTGTCTTATTTATTGTCTGAGAAACAGTAATTTCATTGAATTCAGTGCTTCATATTGTTATTGCCTAAACTAAGGTACTCCTGTCACACCTTCAAGAGTACACCAGCAAGAGGGCGAAGTGCTGTTGACAAGCACTTGGTGCAGCCAGCTTCTGCAAAGTTGGAAAATCATAAGTAAGTGGGAAACCATGCCCTCGCATGTCACTGCTGTTCTAAGCGTGTAGGAGAAACTACGGTGGTCATGAGAAATGTGAAAGTCCCTATCAAGAGCCACTGTTTGGTTTATTGACTATGGGGTTTGTGCCACCATGTAGAAACATGGTGGTTCAACATGGCAGCCTCTGTGCAAGAGAACTTGGTCCTCCTGTAGATGAAAACGCTTCATTCTAAGATAAGAAATACACAACGATTCTTATTTTAAGGTAATTATACACTAAAGAAAACATATCTATGAATGTAATATTCTTATTTATGCCAATAGGTCATCCTAAATGTTAAGCCACTTACTCATTTACAGACATGACATGAAGTAGTCTATAACTAAAAATGTAATAATACACACCAGGCTGTCCAACATAGTTGAGGCGTGTCATAAGATGGCATGTGTTTGGCAGGAGCATGTGAACATCAGAAAGCACAGTATCATGATGAAAAGTGATCTGGTCCATGGCTGATCTTTCATGGTCTTAGAATAGCTCAGCACTCAAGTCTTCTACTTCCCAATACCTGCTGAGACTGGGCACACACAGGCTGACTGTTACAACATACTGTATATTTAACATTCTTGTAGCCTAATTTATAAATAGTATTATACACCGATCAGCCATAACATTATGACCACTGACAGGTGAAGTGAATAACACGGATCATATGGTTATCATTGCACCTGTCAGTGGGTGGGATATATTCGGCAGCAAGTAAATATTTTGTCCTTACACCCTCTATGTGGTTTGCCACTACTGAATTATTTCCATACGGGGCCAGGATCAAAAGAAAAGTAAATATAATTTGCTAACTCAAAAATGTATTAGGATTGGGTTACATGGGGTGCTTAGAAATGAATTATAATGAATTGCATGTTCAATTGTACATGTACTTTCAGCTTGATCTTTTGACAGCAAAGCAAAACATTGACAGTTTCACACACCACCAATTAAATCTCCTACATCCCCACTTATGCTTATCATGTTTATTCCTTACAAAGTGGTTTTACTTGTGCTGTACAAAGATAGAAAGGCAATATAAATGAATGAAAGACAAGGTAAAGAAACAAACAAAAAACATACATCACATTGTAGGAGGGAATTGTCAATATACAGTATTATTCTATATATAACTTTATATAATCTTATCTCTACGATATTTGCTAACAAGACACATGTTTGAGATTATCGTTAATGGGTTGTGAGTCAGTTTAACAATTTAGAAACAAGACCAATGTATTACTGAAGTGCAATAAAGTCAATTAAGAATTTAAATACTACTTTGCTGTGTCGTTTGAGTTTGACTTTCCAAAACAACTTTATTACCCTAAACCCAATATACACCAAAAGAAAGGAGAAATTATTGAGTGTTAAATCAGTAAGTTCTATGCATTAGTTGCAGAACATATATGACAATATTCTCTTGTAATTCTACTCTTCCCTGTAAGCACAGTGTGTATGTATACATTGTCACTGTTTTTAAGTAATTTTTTTTACACAACATGTGTAGAGTCGATAGGCTGTAATGTAGTACTCAGTACTATAGATCAACTAGATCAAATAACAACTAAACACCATATAACTATAAATACCTGTTGAAAATGTTTAAACTTATGGTCGTAACTAACGATATGCAATCATTGGCTGATGCAAACATTTCTCAATGGGAACACATTTGAAAACCTCTTGCAAGCTTTACGAGCATTATTAGCCTCGCTTAAATAACTCAAACAGAAACAACACTGCTGTTTTAATAAAGAAACTACTGTACCTTTCCATTAGCAACTGCAGGCATTCAGCAGTCATCGGTCACTAGGGTTAGGGTAAGCCCCTTGCAGTGCACCCTCGTAACTCGTCCGACTGCAAAAATAAAAGTATGGCTTCCGTTCCGCCAGGACCGCGGAACGGTGGGTGTACACCTAATACCATTGACAGTATGGTAGACACGGACGTAATTTGGGGGGGGGGGGGGGGG